TTAATTCAATTCTTGTATCATATAGAAAAATATAGGAATTAGAGATTTCATATATGTAGTTAATATGTATTGAGAAATATGTAAGTGTATTTTGTCCGTGTACCGACGGATTAAGAATACGGAATGTCACTACCCTAATTCATCCCGTGCAAACTACGCAGGACAACAACACTGCAACAACAATACCAACCCATCTGGCCAGGATGGTATAATAGGCCAAAACCTCCTTTCTAAGGAGAGGCCTATGTCCAACAGTGGACTATTAAAGGCTGTTGATGATGATGATGATGAAGTGTGTTTATCAGCAGTCTGGTGACCGTAGCACAGGCTCTGTCTAGTTAGTGAGAGAGATGCATCAAGTTTTTATATTTTAGTGTTTTAACGGTTTCTATAGACTAGTATTATTGTAAACACTTAACGTGTTAATGACTATTTGCTTTAGATTATCAACTGGTCAATGACCTGGTAAAGTCATTGACATCATTAATGTCCTTTTGTGGAGTGTGACAGATGCTGTTCGCTGTTTATCTCTTGATAAGTATATAATAAGACATTTTATTTAGATAATATTGAGTTTTAAAAACCTCTCACTTTGTTAGAAAATCTGATATTTTTAAAGACATCAAAAATGTATGAATGATACCCGATTAATCGAAGAAGGCTGACCCGATTTGAGAAATAAATTTAATTTAATTTAAAAGGGGTACCCCCTTTGAGGTTTGGGGTGTCTAGTTATGCCTATTGTATCAGGTTAGGATCTAATGTTGATTTGTTTAAGAATCGACGGTATTATTTTAAAATTATAGGCACACGAATGGTAAATTTACTGTCGAATAGCAAAGTTTGATGAAGTGAGAAGCGCACAGACAAAATAATAAGTATATCCGTGAGAAGAACAATATCTCACACATCTCACACACGGCCGTCTGATCCCAAACTAGGCAGACTGCTGATAAACATACATATATATCTTTTAAATTGATACATATTATAGATAAATTACACCCAGACACAGAACAAATGACCGTGCTCATCACACAATATTTGTCCATGGTGGGAATCGAACCCACGACCTCCGGTTTAGCAGTCACTAACCACTACCACCCGTCAATAACATTGCTTTGCAATTGTGACTGGAAAAACGCCTAAGCCAATGCCAAATGATATTATTAAACTGATTATAAAAACGTGATCTTTCATGATAAAATCAATGTCACTTGGGTCGTATTAAAACAGTGATACAAAGTGCAGAGAAACCTTCACAACGAAAATAAAAGTAGCATAAAAAACAGTAAAAAATGTCTGGTCTCTGTTGGCACACAGCCAGCTGTGTTAATGTCGAGAATGCGTATGAATGCATATGCAAGTTGTACCAAAAATATAAATATTTTGTGTCGTTCTACAAGTCTCTTCTACAGACACTGGAACCCTTTCTTGGGGGAAAAGCCTCCATCTTTGATGGAAGAACTATTATTTGCAGTCTACTACTAAACATAGGCCTCTGTCAGCAGGTCTTCTGCCTTCCGAACCCAATCAACACCAGTGACCAGTTCTTAGGTCGTCAGTCCTGGTTGGGTTTGCTATAATGGACATCAATCTTTCCCAGACGTGGACAGCCGATCGCCAATTGGCATTTATTCATTTTCATTGCGACAGACTGATCTCTATGTAAAACACATTCTTTCTGTTCTATGCAGCTCCATGTCGGTCCATGTTTCGGGAAGGAGCTGCATTTCTTCAATGAGAGAGTTTTATCTGAACGCATACTGGACCGTTTAGTCTGTGAGTCTGAATGCGGAAACAGAGCCATCTGCCAATACCAATACTTTGTATTGACTCATTATTTATGAGGAAGACATACATACATACATACATACATATATATATATATATATGTATATGTCTCATTCATAACTCGTCAACAGCCTCTAATGGTCAACTGTTGGACACAGGCCTCTCCTTAGAAAGGAGATTTTGGCCTACTATACCATAAATAATGAGTCTAGGTCTTTATGTATTATATTATTCCAACAGAAATATATTGTTGGTATATTATTGCAAGTTAGACTAGTTAAACAATAGTTAACTTAAGATTTATTAAAAACCATCAAAGCAATAAAAACCTACTTGGTTATTTGTTTCAATAGGTTTGTTTACTTTATTTTAACATATGTAAACACCCATTTTTTATGTGCGTATGGCAAACTCCTCGGGCCGTCACCCCACCAAGGTTTTGGGTGGGGGTAGATGTAAACACGATCATCGTTCAATCATTCAACATTTTAACGATGTGTGGCGCGACAAGTGCACTCGACTTCTATGACATACGTCGCGGGTTCGATTCTCATTGAGTGCAAATATTTGTGGGCATGAATACGTCCTTTTGCAATATAAATAGGTATGTTTATCTATGTTTTACAAACAGCGCAGTATAAGATTGTTTTTAGCGTTGTTAAATGTTATTCCTCGAACTTTATTATTAATCACGCTTTGACTTTTTAAACGTACTTTTATTCGTTTCACTTGTAACTTACTAGCTAAATAATCTTAACAGATATCATCTGATGATGAAACCAGGAGATGCATATAACTTATTCTGATTCAATTACCTATTAAAGAGTATTCATTTACCTTCACCTTGACTAAACTATAATTATTTGAAGAAATATTAAAATAGAAAAAATGTTAATAATCATAAAAAAATGTTTCAGATAAATAAGTAATATTAATAATATTTCGGACATCTAACACACAACGCCATCTTTTTTTTTTGTTGACGGGGTGGAAAATCCCTTCGGATGATGATTCCACGGTGATTCCACTAAAAACCACCCCGACGACCGGCCACAGGTGTCCTAGTCTGGGGAGGACCCGGACCATGTTATTTCAGGTCCTCCCCGAATTGACACCATGCCTAATCAGGCCCTATTCCAGGGGAGAACACTTCCCCCTCGAGAACACTTCCCTCCCCACACAACGCCATCTAGTTTCGAACTAAGCAAAGCTTGTACTATAAAAGCTAGATTGACTGATAGAATACTTTTCATTTAAACAAATATTTGCAGATCATACAAACATTTGGCCAAGAACAAAGCAATTTCTTACAGGCAATCTTTGAACGGACTAAACGACAACAAACATTTGAAATCGTTGGTAGCTTTCGCTCGACAAGGTATTTTTAATCTTCTTATACCGCCTATGTTCGTATAAATTGATTTCTAAACGTGGGACACAAAATGTTAAAATTCCTTAATGCAAACACGTGTAACTCGGAACGACATTTTGATCGAAGTTCTTCTTCGGTCTTGCGAATTAGTTGGCTAGAAAAGCATTCTCTGCTGGTCTACTTTAGGGTGATGTAGAAATAAGTGAGAGGAGATGCATTAAAAAGTATACAAAGAAGTGTTTAGTGAAAAATGGAATAGAGTAAATATTAACATGGTTATATAAAAACTTAATAATAAAAATATATTTATTTTATTGACATCCTTCCCATCCCTGGGAAAGTGAGTTTGTTTGTTACGCTTTCACGCCTAAACCACTAGACGTGGTAATTATTGCTACTTTTAAATCATATTTATTTGATGAAATGATTGGATTTAGTCACAGCGATTTCATTATGTGTTTGTGATTTCGTCATAGACAAATATAAATATCATTAAAATCTTGCGTAATAATAATAAGTAGCAATGGTTTTGTAAGTCAGTCACAGGTGTGGTGATATGTATAAAACCATATGATTTATCACATGTGATTGTGATTTTATTCAATCCCTATAAACCACTAAAGCGATTAAAAAATTCTTTGTTATTCACGTGGGCGGAACTGCGGACAAAAGGTAGTAGTTATATATTTTTACTGTTGTGATGATGACGACTCGGAGAAGGAGAGCGTGAACCTTAGCATTTAACGACAGGCAATTAGCTGACATCCCGGCAATTAGGTCCACAGAATGAAAAAGAATCGACAAAAGTTGAAGTGTGCCTGAGACAAAATAGAAGTAAATTACTTGAAGATCGGTTACTTCTATTACTATTAAAGCAAAGGTATTGAATCTAGCCTTTTTCCGACATCAAAGCTAACTTTTTTTTAAAGCAAAGGTATTGAACCTAGCCTTTTTCCGAGATCAAAGATAACTTTTTTTTTGTATTCATGATAATCGGATGAGTAATTAAGACGCTAAAACCTTCAAAAACTAAAAGCTCTAACTAAACAGAAACATGTGGTGTTGTCTAAAAACTATTTCAAAGAAAATATAAAGCTGTTTCATCGAAAACGTTCACATGCGCTGACTAATTTTATTAATACCAGGTCAGTGATTTCATCGTGAAATTTTGATATCATGGATTATTATTTTCTTTCCTACACTCATTTAATCTCTTTATCGGGTAAATTTAAAAGCCTGATAATATATAAACGAGGCTTACTTTAAAATTTGTCGCTGAGATATAATAAATTAATATTTGTATTAAATAGTATGGTGCGGCTTTATTATATATCATCCATCCGTCCATGTGGTGACGGATACAGAGTGTCATAACCCTTATTCATCCCGTGGGGGTCGTAAGAGCTTACTAAGGGAAAAACTAAGCAAGACAAAGCGCTGCAAAGACAAGGAAAACTTGACACAAACCCTATATCTACCAACCCGTCTGGCCAGCGTGGTATAGTAGGCCAAAACCTGATTTTTAAGGAGAGGCTTAAACAGCAGGAGCAATTGAAAACATACAAAGAATTATTTTAAGAAAGATATCAGTTATGACAATTTAAAAAAAAAAAATAGTGGAAAAATATTCAGCTATGATTAATTATTTGATTGTCTCTATATGATATGATATTACTTCAGAGTCATATTCTACAAAATATATATTAAAATCAGCCAAAGTTAAGTAACACTTATTTTTAAACCAAAACCTGATTTTTAAGGAGAGGCTTATGTCCAGCAGTGGACTAGTAGGGTCTATCATGATAGATAAAACAATAGCAACAATTTAACTTACGTCTCATTCTCGTCTATAAACATTTCTGTGTTCTTCAACCTGCAACAAAGAAAACAATGATTAAATATATTTATAGTCATATAGTAACCAAATAGTACTCCACTTTACCATCTAATTTTCTCCCGTACGAAAACAATTACAATTCCAGAGATGGTTTGGATGGACAGCAGGACCCAACCCGGCGCTTACTACTGCGCTGAGTGTTGTGGGTCCGATCCCCACATGGGACGACACTTTGTGTGATCCACAAATTGTTGTTCTGAGTCTGGGTGTTCTTTGTGTCTGTTTCATGTACGTTTGTAAAGTCCCCCGCGACACAGGATTTATTACTAGTGCGGGAGTTGTCTTTAAAAATATAACCCGTTGAAATAATATTAATAATATTTTCGGACATCTGACACACAACGCCATCTAGTTTCAAACTAAGCCAAGCTTGTACTATGAAAGCTAGATTGACTGATACTTATATACTTTTTTGTAAATACATAAATATTATACATAGAAAACACCCAAACTCTGTAACAAATATGTGCAGATCAACATTTGGTCCGACCAGGGAATCGATCCAGAGATCTCAGCACAGGAATCGCATACGCTACCACTGCACCATCGAGGCAGTATGTGTTACAAAGTACAAATGTTACACATCGCACAATCTCCGTCTAATATTGACTGAAGTATTGAGTAATTATCTCATTATACACCTGCCACACACAAATCTCTTCATCACCCCAAGGTTGACTGGAAGAAAATGACTATGGCATTAAGTCCGCCTTATGCAATGAATTTGCAGGAAGTTTAAATAAATAAAGTTTTATCAATTTGCCTTTAAATTTACAACTACGTTGTCTATTACAACTATTGCTATCAGTAAACTAAAACGGAGATTGGCAACCTATAGAACCGTCACCTGTAATTTTTGTATTCTCTTTCAAAAGCTTTACCAAAAATAATACTAAATTGGATTCACGATGACGGAGCGTGGTTATTGAACAAAGAATGCATGAGCAACGTATAAAAGGAATAATCAAGGTACTATTATACATATCTAATGTATAAAATTCTCGTGTCGCGGTGTTTGTTTCCAAACTCCTCCGAAACAGCTGGACCGATTCTTATAAAATTTTGTGTGCATTTCAGGTCTAAGAATGGGCCAACATCTATTTTTCACATACCTAATTTTTATTTTATTATGATTAAGCATTGAAAATGTATACAACTTCAAATTTTCACCCTTCTACGATCAACCCCTGTTTTTTATAAGGCAAAACAACGTTTGCCGGGTCAGCTAGTATTACTATATTATGTGTGTATATGTTCTTATAAAAAAACTAGATAACGATTGATATATTTTGTACCTAATGTTACACATGTTCTGGATTAAGTAATACTCGTAGATATAAGTATTAGCGATAATTACATTCAATGTTCATTTTTTTAACTTATATCGCACACATGGCCATCAGATTCCAATAATCTGGGCCTTTTTTTTTTTTTTTTTTCCGTGCGGAAATCCCCTCGGATACCACCTGTCGGTGGCATGTCGGACTCGAACCGACTAAAACCGCACGCCTTCGCCGGGTACTAATAGCCGGGAAACCAGGTATACCCTAGAAAGGAGGTCCCTGGTGCAATAATCTGGGCCTGTACTATAGCTAGATATATAGACACGCTATTGAGATGCCATTGACATCGGTCAAAATATCAGTATTCTATTAACATAAACTCACAGTGTCAATACTGTCGATGTAGTGAAAAGGCTCAACAATGGTGACATTAACAGTATTGCTATATCTGGTAAATTAAATTTTTCATTTCCTTCCAAATTCAAAATGTACCGTTTACAAAACTATTACAAAGACATCGACGACAATGGTATCAGTGGCAGTTCAGTGACAGTCATCCGGCCATTAGTCTTACATAGTTAGTAGAATACGAAAAGTGCGAAACTATTGCGACGTCATTCCATCGACAGTCTATTGTTACAATATTAAAATAGCAGAATTTGGGCCCAGGCCGTTCAAGTTATTATAAACACAAAATCTTAAAATTAAAGGTCAAACTAGCAATCTTGCTTTACTAGTTGGCACGACATGACCGCGTTCGAGTAAAAAAACAACTATAATCATGGTGACATCAACATACATTAGACAGTATAAATAAAAGTAATTAAAGTGCTGGTATTATCAGATTACGAGAAATATATTGTAAGAACAGATAGATACTATTATTTTGCATAAATCGAGTTGATAAATCCAAAAGATCTAGATTGTTCTATTTAATTCTTTCTTTTTCTTTTAAAAAACAACTCCGCGCTAGGAATATATCCTGTGTCGCGAGGGACTTTACAAATGTACATAAAACGGACACAAAGAATACCCAGACTCAGAACGACAATTTGTGAATCAGACATAGTGTCGTCTCATGTGGGGATCGAACCCACAAAACTTAGCACAGTAGGAAACGGCGTGGCGACCGCTTAAACCACTACGCCATCCGTGCCATCCATGAGTACAGGGATACCGAATTATCCTTAATGTGTTCGCTTTAAGCAAAGAGGTTCTTAAACCGCAACATGTTAATTTGCCGGATATTTAAATAATTATATTGTATATCTTTCATTGAAAGGAAATTGTCTTTGAATAGTCACACATTTACGTTTTAAACCATTTTAATACGTCAAACTTAATTTGTTAACCCATAATTTCTTTAACAAACTGTAAAACTTGAGTTCAATTAAAACACTAACAAATTATATTCAGTAAAGACAATAAACACAAAACTAGAAAATCAATTAAAACATCGGAGAAGATAACATTTCGTTTGTATAATGAACTGTAAACAATAACACAAATAGAGTACAATTTTGCAAAGCAATCGAGTCAAGCCCCCCAGGCTATATTTAGCCTCCGCCAAGTACACTCCATACGACGACGCGATGGATGACTGGGAGGTATCTAGGTCTAAGATGTACGCGAACAGGTCAGTTATAGCTCCTTACATTGTAATATATTTCTAGAGTCATTGTGAACAAATAAATTATATGTAGTTACAATACGATTGTTTAAAATACAAGAAAGGAAAAACACATTTTAAGGTCATCAATCATCAACAATAGTCCACTGCTGAACATAGGCCTCTCCTTAGAAAGGAGGTTTTGGCCTACTACACCACGCTGGCCAGACGGGTTGGTAAAGGGTTTGTGTCAAGTTTTCCTTCTCTTTGCAGTGCTGTTGTCCTGCGTAGTTTGGTCTCTTAGTCGGCCGGGATGAATTGGACTGGTGACACTCCGTATTCTTAATCCGTCACCACACGGACACATTTTAAGGTAAACATTTTCATTTATTTTATTCTATGCAAAGCTTGAAAGATAATATGAATATTAGACGTATTTTTATTATGTAACTACGTGACCCGCGCAACTTAATGAGCCTCCCTTAAAAGGTATAAATTTGCCCCATTTTTTATTGATGCGCGGATCCTATTGGTCGTAGCATGATTTTATATAACCTATAGCCTTACTCGATAAACGGGCTATCCAAAACTAAAATATTTTTTCAATTCGAACCAGTAGTTTCTGAGATTAACGCGCTAAACGAAACAAACTCTTCAGCTTTATAATATTACTAGCTGACCCGGCAAACGTTGTATTGCAAAACAAAAAAAAATTAGGGATGGGTCACCCTTACCATTTAGGGGTATGAAAAATAGATGTTGGCCGATTCTCAGACCTACCCGATGTGCACACAAAATTTCATGTGAATCGGTCAAGCCGTTTCGGAGGAGTATGGGAACGAACATTGTGACACGAGAATTTTATATATAAGATAGTATAGATAGTTGTATAGCTTTTTTTTGCGTTCGTAACTTCTGAATTGAAGGCGTTCTTGGGCGGCGGTAGTCAGTTTCCATCAGGTAACCCGTCTGCTCATCTACCCACTCTTCCATAAAAAAAGTTACAAAAACATTTCTTAACAAAATAGTTGAATATTGCTAAACTGATAAATGGTAATACTGAATTAAGGCCTGGTCTTGTTACGATGAGAAAAAAAGGATATTTCACCAATTCAAAAATGTCTTCTATGTAAGAGCACCATTGTGAAAGAACAATACTGAAAACAACTGTTGTTGATAAACAATAAGCGTGGGAAAGCAATGGCCTCTGGTTAATCTCAGATGTGTTGGGTGGCAGTGGTCTAGCTGATACTGGTACCAGTTAAAGAATGAAATTATGGTCAAAGGTAACGCTAACACACACTATGAATTCATAACAGCCAACATTGTTTGCGTTTACAATAATAGCATAATTAAAAAAAAAAGACATAAAAAAACTTTAAAAAACAACAACTGCTCATTGAGACTGTTCTAATAAGCCCAAACATGGTATATATGCTGTATCTGAGGAGTTGGCTATCCCACAGACTACTTGATGCAGCAGCAAGTTCCAGGTTACCATGCCGTGGAAATACCATCAAAGTAACAGTATACCAAATTTCAGATCAATCGGACCAGTAGATTTTAGTGAGATCCCTTCATAACCTCAGAAGTGAGCTGATGATCTTCAAAATTTGAAGCTAAGAACCATCTCGATCACATCAGCTTTCAAACAAAAAAAACCGAATTTTCAATGTAATATGTTTTACAAAAAGAATATAAATATTCTATCTAGCTTAGTCAATCTAGCTTTCGTAGTACAAACTCTGCTTAGTTTGAAACTATTATTATTATTGCTTACGTTGCTAGATTGGGCAATGTATTATTATCATCGAATTGGCTATTGCCGAAAAGTACGAGCCCTCAACCAAAATTCGAAATATTAATAATTTAATTTTTTTAATCTAACTCAGTGGTCACTCTCTTCTGAACAGAAACACTCATAATTTCGAACTCTTTATTTTGACGTTTCTATTTCTGCTTACTATGTGGTTACTTTTATTTCTGCTAGTCTACGGAACTAGTCGCCGGAATCTGTACAGCAAAGCAAAATCGTATTAAATAATAATTAATTCACCACTTTTTAACT